TTTAAAAAAGTTTATATTTTTAATTTATACTAAATAAAAGCATGCATGTAAAATCGAATTTGGAGAAATAAGAATTGTGCCTTGTGAGCCGCTTCTACGTAAACTCAATGCATTAAATGTATTTAATATCAACATATTCCTAGTCATATAGCTCATTTATAAAATAAAGCATGGACTGTCTCCAATGATATTCCATCCTTATTTTAGAGATGTAAGCCATAAATACCCTACCAAGTTTTCAGAAAATAAATCGGCCGGAGCAAGAAGAACACATAAACTGTCTTTTCGCCAAGCCCCGTTTACATTAACGTCACAAAGTTACAAGTTAAAAACTAAAAGGTTAAAAATTGAAGTACAATACAATATTAGTTCGACAAAAATAAGACACAAGTAATAAATCGAATAAATGTTATTTGTCTGTTCAAAATTAATAGTATATATATTTTTTATTTTAATAAGAAATAAACAAGATACACAAGACAATAGTAAATGAGTAGTGATGACTTTTTCAGGTTTAATTATTTTAGGTGATTTTAGAAGAAATCTTTAAAATCGAAAGTTTTTTCTAATAGAAAACGTTTAGATTCTCTTTTGAATTGTTCTAAGGAGATGCCTTGAAGAATTTTATTTTTAATTATATTTTTTTAAAAAACCTTTCCATATAAATGGTCCCCGGTATTGAATTTGAAAAGAATTGAGTTTTAAATAAGATCTTGGAATAACAAAATTATCAGATGAAAATTTAGTGGGATATTTATGAGATATTTCGGTAAAGTAAGACTGAAATATATTAGGAGATAACGCATGTTTTGTTTTAAACGTAAATAGCATAACTTGGTATATATTAAGTTTGTAAATATTAAGCACATTAAGTTTCTTTAAAAGAGATTCACCATTAACAGTTCTGTTAACGCCAAAAATAATCCTACAAGCATGTTTTTGTTTGCTATAAATTTTTTTGAGCTTCCCATAATTGGTACATGCCCATGCAAGATTACATTAGGAAAGATAACTATGAATAAATGAGAAATATATAATTTTTAAAGATTCCGTATTAAGAAAAGGCTTAACTTTATATAGCATTGAAATATTTTTGGAGATTTTATTTTCAATAGATCTAATATGATATTTCCATGATATATTTTCATCTAATATCACTCCTAGAAAGTTAATAGTTGACTCTCTTTTAATAACTTTTTTGTTCATAAAGAGATCAGGTAGTTTTAAAAAAAGGTTATCACCTTTACTAGGTTTGTGGAACAACATAAATTTAGTTTTCCCAACATTTAATGAAAGTTTATTATTCGTAATCCATTCATTTATTTTTAATAACTCTTCATTAAAAATTCTAAACAGACCTTTAATATTTCTGTCAGACTAAAAAAGATTTGAATCATCAGCAAACAAAATAACGTTTAGAATTTTGGATGCTAAATACAAATCATTAATGAACAGTATGAATAATAAGGGCCCTAAGATTGATCCCTGGGGAACACCACAAGTTATGACATGTTTTTTTTCTTCATTTTCTGTATATATTATGTATTGTTTCCTGTTTGAAAGGTAACTTTTAAACCATTGTTAGTTATTGTTTATTACTCCATACATTATATGATACAGACATTTAGAAGAGTTACTATTGGGTCTCGGAGATAACGCTAAGTTTAGTTTTCTAGCCCTTATTGACAAGCTACTTAAAATATTCAACCGAAATTCTGTTAAGATTAGCTACAGTTGCATGCCTAACCTAAAATCTATCATAAATTCGCATAATTCCAAAATTTTACACAACAAAAATCAATTAAAAACCAACCAATGTAACAGCGTAGATAAAGCATTTTGCCCTTTGAACAATCAATGTTTATCTAACAATATTGTCTATCAAGCAACCGTAAGTTCCAGTCATCATGATCGTAATAAAAAAGTATATTTTGGCATTAGTGATACACCATTTAAACTAAGATACGCAAACCATCTCAAATCATTTGCATCAATTAAATATAGAAATGACACAGAACTATCTAAGGAAATATGGAGTTTAAAAGACCAAAACATAAAGCCCATTATAGAATGGAAAATTGTCAAACGTTGTAAACCTTACAATCTAGCAACAAAAATATGCCACCTTTGTCTCTACGAAAAATATGTAATTTTATCGCATAATGGAAAAAATCTACTGAATAAAAAAAACGAAATCGTATCTCAGTGTCGGCATTCAAAAAAATTCCTATTATCTTTATTTTACACAGGGGACTAATAAACTATAACGGCTTTTTGTTTTTTGTTTTTTGATTTGTTTTTTACGTAGATTTGTTTATAACGTCAGATGTCATTCTGCAGTAATTTTTACGTTTTTGTAACGGTTTGTTTACGTTTTTTGTTTGTATTAACGGCTGATGATTGCCTTCGGGCATGAAACTTTAAGTCCAGCTAATCAGTTGTTTTTATTCATCTATATATATATATATATATATATATATATATATATATATATATATATATATATATATATATATATATATATATATATATATATATACTTTCAATAAAATATAGATATATTTTTAACCCTAATGGGCATAAAACTGCTGTGCTGATCAGTAAATCAAATAAAGATAAAAAAATGAAAAAATTGAATCAAATAACTTCAGAGTTACTTAAGCTTTAAAAATTTCTTATTTGATATGAAACTTAAATAAACTTAATGACTTTGCCATACATTTAATTCCTTTTTGTTAGGTATTCCATATATTTGGACCTCGATATGCAATGATATATTCAGTATATTTATTAACGTTTTGATATATATGAGTTACTTACATTTGCTCTAAGATAATAGTTTTCATTTCTATTTGTTTCAAACTTGTTGTTAAGGTTTTTAGGAGGGAGATTATTGTTGAGTCGATACATAAAAAATTCAATGCTGATAGATATTTATTTCAAAAATATTCATCATTTCAAAAATATCCATTATTTTAAAACGAATTATTTCCCAATTTAATACGATAGCAAATATTTACAACTGTCTCTTCTGAGCTTAAATAAAAAATGACTTGGATTTATTTTGACATATTTGATTAGACGAGATAATTCTCTTTCTTCTGGTGTTTTTATTTTTAAGTATTTTTGTTAGTTCCAGTTTTATTTAAATTGTTCGATCAGTGATCGAAAAATAGAATGATCGGTTTTACTCTATAAAAGCCGTAACTAACTAATTAATTATGAGTGCAAAAGCAACAAGCAGTTTTTAACTCTATAAGCTATATAATAGTTATTCATTCAAAAAAAGTTCGCAAACTATTTTTGAGAAATTCGAACTGGAAATGATTTGTAGATTTCTAGCAGTAAAAGAATACCTGGTTTATCATTGAATGATATTGGTTCATCTTATATTTGGAATGAGGCTCAATACCCTAAACTTTTAAAACTTAAAAAGTCTCGGAACCTAGCAATTGAAGGCTTAGAGAAACAGAGTAAGGTTTTTTTTATAAAAAAAACTTTAAAAAATCAATTAATAAGTTTCTTGAAAAGCCTGCAGAAATCCTTGAAAATCCAACTGCTCAGATTATAATTATTTAAAGCATCAAATAAAGGAACCAAAAGATTTCGATTTGTTATTTGATGCAGCTAAACCGAGACTAGTAGCTAGTGAACGAATATTTTTAGTTGCACAATTTAAACAGTTTTTTAAATTAAGCAAGTGTTTTCAATTGTACAAATGCAGGCATTTTTTTTACAAAAATATTGAAATTAAGAACAAACAACAAATATTGTTTGTAGATTAAAATTTTTGCTTTTGAAATCTTTTGTTGTTCTGTGTAAGTTATGTGTAATCCATTCGTTGTTCTTTATAAATTATGTTTAATTTATTCGTTGTTAAGTGAAATCTATTCGTTTTTCTGTGTAAGTTATGTGTAATCAATTATTTTATATTTTGAGCTTGATTTGTGTTTTTTATGATTTTATAGATATTAAATTAAATATTTCTCCTAATTCAAATTTTTTTAATTTGAGAAACAGTTAAAAGCGGTTTTCAAATTTTCGAATTAACCGCCTAATTTTTGAATTAACAGGGTAAGTTACGAATTAACCCATAATAGGAATTTTCTCATTTTCAGCAAGTTATCACAACCTATAAACAACAGAACCGCCGGGCTTTTTCTTGATTTTAGAAAAAAATTTAAATGTGAAGTCAACAAAAATGCTCATAACTTTTTTTTTTTGTCGATAATAATTTTTAGTGGATTTTTAATAAGTTATAGTTGATAAAATTACGCTTCGAACAATACCAAATTTATCTTTATCTATATTTTGTCCAGGTTCCAGGTTAGCCTTCAAGCTAGCCCGTTTTATACCTATTTTGACTAGACTGTTAATAAGGATTGACTAAACTGTTAATAAGGACAAACCGATTTGCATTAAAAGTTAAAAAGGTATTTTTGGTGATAAGTTTGCAGACAACAATTTTTAGCTTATTAAATTTTTAGTAATTTTGTTTGCTGTTGATATAAACTCTTTAGAATTTATTCTTTAGATCAGCAGTTGGTCTAAAGAATAAATTATTTAAGGCGGGAGGAGGGCACAATCATCAATTTGTGAAAAAAGTCCTCTTTACACCAAGATTTTTCTTTAAAAAAAATTAAAAAAAAGGTCTTTTACAAAAAAAGTTGGGGGGGGGGTACGTGCTCCCTTGGCCACCCCGGTGCCTTCGGCCCTGAAACATTTGATCTTACTTAAAGTTTTGTAATTCAGATTTGAAAATATAGTTTACATGAAAAACCGTATTTGATATTTTTTAAAGGTAGACCTGAGCTAGTTAGATACTGCATAAATTTGTGATCTTTTTAATATATATTTTTTGAATATTAAATTGCAGTTTGGAAAAATATGAATTTATATAGCACGATCAGATGTCAAACGCTTTTGTGTTTTTTTTCAACTCAAAAGTATTCAAATAAATTTCATATAATTTATATATTTAAAAAAACAATAAAATTTTATAGTTTAAAGATATTATTTCTATTTTAAAAAATAAATGTAAATAATAAGCCTCGTTATCATGGTGCAAATTAACACAAAGAAAGATTAGGGGAAAAAAACTGTTACTAATAGGAGTAAACTCTTCATGGCTAAAATCTTTAAACAATACGTCAAGAAGATTAATAAGTAAGTGAATAATTAACACAAATTTAACTCACGAGTAACAACTCTATATAATCATACGTCGGGAAAACCAGTTATGAATAACATAAATATGACTCACGAGTAATAACTGTAGCTTAACACAATTTCTCGTAACTTATTGAAATGTAGAAACAAATCTTAGCCACATATTTATTATATAAATATGTTTCACATTCGTGACATATTTGCGTACGCATCGCATGTTGTCGAAACGGTTTTCATACTGCCTTTTTTTGAAAAAGGCAGTCTATATCGAAATTCTTTAACAGTTAAACAGTAAACCAAAGGTGCTCCAAGTGAGTTTAAAAATCCTATATATTTTATTGCAAACTCTATGTTACTTCTACCGGTAGAGTTTTTAAAATTTTTTGAGAAACAATACTTTGGGCAAAACTTCCCTAATACATAATAGATAACTGACGGTGTCCAACAAATAGCATAGCATATTGACACAAAAACTGCAATTTTTAGAACAATTCTAGCATTATCAGATAGGCTTCTGTCTCCTCTTCGATCTCTACCAGATTGATTTTCAATATTTTGAATATGTTTAAAAATACAACTGTAGAAAAACAATATAACAAGATAAGGAATGAAGCAATTTAAAATAAGCATTGTTATTGTCCAATTATTTGAAGGGCGATAAATGCAAGAATCATTTTCTTGATTCGAAATATGTTGTGAGGGTACTTTATAAAATGGAATTAAACACAGCGCCGTAACATAAATCCAAGATGAGATTGTAATAATTCTTACTGTTTTTATTTTAATCAATGTTCTATATTTAAAAATGAAAGTTGTAGCAATGTATCGGTCTAGGGCTATAAGTAAAACGCAAAATATTGACATATAGTATGTTATCATGTATAAAAAACGAAAAGAATCGCAAACAAAGTTTTCCCAAAATCTATTTTGAATTTTAATTTTTTTTATAGCATAAATTGGAATGACAAACGTTCCTTGCAACAAATCAACTACCAATATATTGATGATAAAATGTACGGACGGTCTAGTTAACATTTTCTTTGATTTTCTTATTATAACAAGACATCCAGCATTAACCGTTGTAGTAGTTGTTGAAAGCACAAAAAGAGAAGCAATCGCTGCGTATGCATTTGGTTCATTTGGCAGCGAAATTTGGGTAGTAATGTTCATATTTTTACTATCAACGATAAATTTAGAAACATAAACATTTTTAAAATATAGCAATAAAAAAAAATAAGTAAAATAGAATGCCTACGTTGAAGTGTAGCAAACGTATATATTGTTTAAAAACCTTTTTATACAATAAAAATACAAAAGAAGTCAGCTTTGAAAATCTTTTTTATAAAATCTATGTTCTATTTATAAATTCCTTTAATTTTTATAGTAGCAGAATTAAAAATTAAAAGACTTTTCATTTTTCCTATGCAATGACATCATTTTTTGCAAAGATATCGCTAATGGCGAGAGTAGAACAGAAAAAAAAGTTGACGGTAAATTGGAAAAAAAGATAAATGATAAAAAGAAAAAAAAAATTATTTAACAAAACCAAAAACAATTATAAAGGATATAAATAAATATATGTAACGAACAATTTAGGGAATAATATATAGTGAATAATACATAACGAATAATATATAACGAATAATATTTGAAAAAAAAAAACAACGTTAAAACAAGATTAAAGGAGATAGATAAATATATGTAAAGAATAACATAGGGTTTAATTTTGTTTATGTAAAAATGTAATTATAAATATTTTTTACCCTTTTATCAATGTTTGCATTAATATTTTTCATTTATGTATGTTTAAAAAGTCCCTGAACTTCATACCCCCTCTACCCCAAACGAAAGGGGGTCAAAGTTAATGAAAAATTATTTATATTATTCTCAACAAAACTAATATTCGTCGATAAATATAAAGTTTCGTAGTTTGATACGAACCTCTTTGATTTATTCTGTTGATTTGACGTAATCTTTGTTTTTTTTTATACTATTTTGAATATATTTTGTCTTGTAAGGATTTTTATCTTAGCATTACAGTACGTCTATTGACCGTATATGGTATTAAGTCAGACAAGATGCCAAGCCAAAATTAAAGAATTATTTTAGATAAAAAAAAAAAAAAAAAAAAAGGATTGCTGAAAGCAAACAGTCGAAAAGAGTCTGAAATGGTAAAAAAAAATAAATAGAAAAAAGCTTTGGTTAAAGTAAATAAAACATTAAATTGTAACAACTGATGTAAATGAGAATTACTGTGGACCAATAGACTATATATGTGTGTTGTAATGCATTAAAAATTTAGAGGTGATTCCGATGAGAAAGGTAACTATAGCATGTCTTGCAACAATGGTAAGGTTCTGTTTCCGCCTACTGAAACAACAAATTTTTTGAAGATTACTTTAAGGTGAAGATAAGCAAAGTAAAGCATTCAAACCAAAGATTCGTTTGTGCGACAGTAGTTTGTCTTTTATATCAAGAAGTGGATCTGGCATAGAAACAATGTTTGGAGGACCTTTAGTTATGAGAGTACATGGACAGGTTTATAACAATTTAGGAATTCATAGAAGTTTGGATACATGATGAAACTCTGTCTCCGTCTTATTATAGAATTGGAAATAAGTTTTATAGTGACTTAAATTCAGTGTTAGTAACTCAGTGAGATTAGGAATTAATAAAATTTAATGGATTCAGTAAAGAATTAGTTTCAATGAAGAAGTCATGAAACTTGAAGAAAAACGAGCAAGGGAATAAGGGCAACCAATTAAGGAATACGCGATGATGTTAACCGAAAAAGAGGGTAAGCGTGTTAGCAATCGAATTAACAAAACACATTCAATACTCCAAGAGTACCTGAAGTTGCATTCTTATTTTTTAACAAAAACGGTGAAGTTTCTCTTCCACGTGACATTGTTTATTGTTGATATCTATTGTTGAGGTCTATTGAAGAAGTAGCCCTATAAGAAAAATCAATTATTTCTCACCAAGAAGTGATTTATTGCGACATCCTGTTGTATTCCCAAAAGGTTAACTGATGAACAAAACTAAAGCAACAAAATAGAAATAGAAGGATAACATATACACAGCAAGCTTTTACCTATTTGAACAAAATTGTTTGTAATCCAATGTTACATATAAAATGTTTCAGGCAGGGGCGTGTCTATGGGATGTCTAGGAAATTGAAGCTGTTGGAAAGTAAATAAAAAGCAAAATATAAAAAACTATTACGGTTTAATAGTTTTGCGAAAGAAATTGTTGAAAATCTTGGCTCATGATTGTTGAAAATGGTGCCTGATTAAGTCTTTCATTTAAAACATCAAAAACTGATAGATAGTTTTATCAAAAAGCAAATATTTTGAAAAGTAATATCATTGAGATTTGCTATTGAATTCCAGAAAAGAAGGTTTTCCACAGTATTGCTTATAATAACTGTTGATTAGAAAATTCAAAATGCAGATGAAGTAAACCAATATGATTAAGCAGAAATTCCAGATCCTTACTAAGACAAAGAACTTTATAGTATTGTCATACAAATCATTATATAAAAAGCCTTGCATGGTTTATGGTAGATGTTCAAAACACCTGTTGGAAGCAAGAATATGTTAGCGCAACAGATGCCTTTATTACTTTTTAGAATTTTCAATGCACGAACAATCAATACGCAGTGTTACATTTAGCTTCTCACTCTCGAAACAAACAGAGTGTTGTTTCATACAAAAGGAAAAGAAGTAGAAGCTACATCAACAGCGACTTTTAATGAATTCACATTGACGGTTTGATTGTCGTTTAAATTGAACAGAAAAGACCTGAGGCAAGAAATCTGTATCCTGAAAAGAAAACATCAATCAACACCAATCAATCACATAAAAGTGGTATGAGTGATAACACATCAGCTGATGCAGAAATTATTGGATGTGCTTTATATAGTATATAAAAAATAAAAGATTCACAGAAATAACAGTACCGTTATTTACTGTAAAACTTTTATTTTTTTTTAGATTTAATTCATTATCTTCTCATAACCTTAAGAAATATATTTTTTTTAGATGTGTTTTTTTTTATTTATTTTTATAATACCAATTAAAGATTTGCTGATTCCATCAAAAATGTTTCATTTGAAATACCCCTAATAAATCAAACTTTTCTTAGAATTCTGGGATCTACCAAAAAAGTTATAATAACATGAAGTATTTGTAGGTATCCCAGCAAACATTACTTTAGTGGATTTGCAATGTACTTATATAGGCATTTTTTAGCGGTTCATTAGAGTTTTGCTCATTGATTACTTAGTGGACCATTAGTGGAAGTCACTATAAATGGCAAGCCGATAATTTTCCGACATTTTAATGGTGGTTAATTATAGGACAGCTACTTTAGGTCCACTACGTAACCGATAAGCAAAACTACAACGGTCCGCTCAAAATGCTTATATTGATCCACGGAAATTCCGTTATTGCATGTTTGCTGGGATTAATCAGACTTATATAAATTAGCTAAAAGTGAAATAAAGCATTGTTTCGTTGGCTTCCAAGATGAAAAGCTATTATTTTACAAATATCACTATTACCCAGTAACAGATCTACGATTTTTTGTGTTTAAGATAACTAACTTATAGGTATGGAGCATATTCTAAACATTTGTATGTTTGTACTTACGTCAAATAATGGTGCTTTGCAAAAAAATTGCGTTTATTTGAGGCTGGAAACGAAAAAACCCTTTGACTTCATTCCCCTCCCGCCACCCCAAGCGTGAAGGACAACAAGTTGATAAAATACTTTTTATACTATTCTCAACTAGACTTATATTCATTAATAAACTTTAAGTTTCATAGTATTATCTCTCAGCATTTTATTATGAAATTTTATAAAAATTATGACCATATAAAATTTGTAACCCCTTCAAATTTAGGAAGATTTAAACTTTAAACGATCATATTTTTTAAATGCCGAGAAATGATACAATGAAACTTCAAATTTATCGATGAATATAAGTCTTGTTGAAAATATTACAAAAAAGGAAAAGGAGGAAATGAAGCTGAAGGCTTTATTTATTCCCAGACTCCGATCATGGCAAATTTTTGCAAAGCATCATTATTTGTCATAAGTATATACATACAAATGTTTGGAGTTTGCTCCATGTCTGGAAATTAAGAAACTCAAACACAAAAAAAATCCTGGATTCGTCACTGTTACTATACCAGTTCCTAAAAGTAAGATAAAGCCCTAATAGTAAACAAAAATCCTTTTTGTCTCCTTTTTTTTTTGAATTAAAAAAATCCTTACCGAAATAATGTCACTAAAATTTTCTTTGTACTAATCTTTCATTAAAAAAAAATAGATTTTATTACATGAATTTTATTGAATTGTAAATTTTGTTTTTTAAAGCCTTTAACAGGAAAAGAACTCGTTTAGTATTAATAACCGTAAAGTATCATTATCCTTATCGGAAGCACAGGCTTTTTCAAATAGAAAGATAAGTGCATATCATATCAGTTTTTAATTAATAAAATAAATACCTTTTACTTCTCTAACTATTCATTTCTCAAAAAAAAAAACAGAAATAAATTGTTTATAATTATTTTATGCTACTCTATATAACTTTGACGGCATGTAACTTAAGTTAATAATAAACTCAATATTCAAAATTTAACCCTATATAAACAAAACACTTAATAACTTCATAAGCAAAACTTTTAATAACCCAAATTAAACAAAAATTTTAATTGCGCTAAATAAACATAAAACAATTAAGCAGATAAAACATTTCATGAAACCTTCATTAAATTTTTTCTGAAAAAAAATATATAATTTTTCTCCCTTCATTGAAGGGAGTAAAAATCTTATATGTATTTTTTACTTCGCGACGAAATCATAACAGATTTTCATTGGGGAGTAAATAAAAAGTTGATGCAAAAATCTTCTATTACATCAGCCCAAACCAAAACCCTCAGTCAATGTAGCTAGAAAATGTTTTAAGGTAGCACGCTTGTTTTAAGGTAGCGCGCTTGTTTTTATTTCAGGTTATTAAATATCAAGTAGTAAAAAATAAACTCATCTAAAACGACGAAAACAAATCCAAGAATCAACAAGTCATTGACAAAGAAAGTCATTATTGATCACACAGAGCTTAACTTTGATTAGCATTTTTAAACCTGTTAATAGTTTTTAATAACACAGATTCCATAAAGCCTTAATTATGTACCTTAATTATGTATTTTGGAAATTTTTTTAAAAAGCTGGGAACCACTGCAGAATGGGCCAGAGGTAAGCAAAATCTTTCTAAACTAACTTTTATATTGGAGTAATTTCTTTTTGTAAATATAATCTAGAGACCCCTAACCCTTTAATTTTTATCTTATTATCTCTCAGCATTCAAAAATTATGACCATATAAAATTTGTAACTTTCTCAAATTGAGGGTGGTTTAAACGTTATACGGTCATAATATTTGAACGCTGAGAGATAATACCATGAAACTTAAAATTTATTGTTGAATATAAGTTTAGTTGAGAATAGGACAAAAAAAAATTTATCAACTTGTTGATGAAATTTTGGGGCTTATTTCTTCCTAGCCTCCAATCATCGTAATTTTTTCATCATTAGTTGACATAAGTAAAAACATACAAATGTTTGGAGTTTGTTCCATATCTGGAAGTTAGCTATGTCAAACATCAAAAAATGCTGGATTTGTCACTGAAAAGAATATTTATCATTTATATTCATGTATGCAGTTTTTACTTATGTAAAAAGAAGAGTTTAGTAAGGAGTTTAAATTAGCTTATTTACGAGAAAGGAAATTTTTAATTTCTTGTGCTGAAAGCGAGAAAACTACGTCATCTAGTACTATCAAATTTAATAATTTTCTAAAATGCCGTTTTCGTCTAGGAAACTGTGTTTTAAATGTATCAGTTGTGTTTTATTCATTTAAATAACGAATATAGCATGGAAAAACGGCAATTTAATTGTGAAAAGTAGACATTTCATACACCCTAATATTAATGTTTTAGACTAAAACAACAGAAACTAATGCACAATAAAATTCTCCAGGCCTTAAATAAATTATAATCTTATGATGAAAATGCTTTGCAGCTACGTTACTAAGGTTTCCAGAATAAAATCGAGTCAGGGAAAAGTAAATGACTCCAATCAACGTAAGGAGGTCTAGGGGCTTTTGATGTACTAATGTATGATATATGTCATCGCCTAGATTTTTTGCATACACAAAAAAAGAGTTAATAAAATTCAAATTTATTGAACGTTATTTGTTTATATTCACAATATCAAAGAAATTAAGTTCATAAAATAAATAAAAATCACGAAAATATCTTGACAACTCATGAACTCATCAACTCATACCTATCTGTACAATTATAGCCATTCCTAGAGACCAAATACGATCAGATTTGATTTTCCTGATATCAATTACCTATATTGAAACAAACAACATGTACGTTTAATTGAAAAAACCATCGGGATATTCTATAACCACCCTTGACCTCCCATCTAATTGAAAAACATCAGAACATCTCAGGAACACCCTAGACCTCTACTAAAATGACCATTTGGACGGTCATAACCCCTTTTAAAGACTGAATATGCCCAGATTTAAATTCCTTGACAGCAGAGACCTAAATTTGGATATATATCATGTTCTACCTAATTTTAAAACCATTGAAAACCCCATGTCCACTTTTGACAACATTAAAACTAACTACTAGTGTGGTCATGACCACTCCAAAATTGAAGTGAAGCCTAAAAATTAAATCCTTAGCCCAAAAAACCTTTATAAACATGTATTATATGTCTATATTTAACCCATAAATAGTTTTACCATTTATAGACAATTCTAGCCCACTGTGCGACGTAGCAGACACTGCGCGCTGTTTTAAACAAAATTATGTAGAGTAATTCGATAAATTATTTTAATTGAAATTTTCTAATCACATTACCGAAATAAAACAATATGATTTATATTAAACATAGCTTTACACTCAATTTACTAAAAATTATAAAAACTAAACATTTTTTTAAAAAACAAAACTGAAAATATTAACTATGAAACTATTTATCATTTTATTTGCTGCAATATTTTCTAAAATATAACCTTCATTAAATAAAAGATTTTTTATAAATTTTACTAATTATTATTAAAAAAAAAAAAACAAACTGAAAACATCAACTATGAGACTAACCCACCGAGCATTTGTTTTTAAAAGTTACATTTGTTTTAAAGACATTAAATATCTTTAAAACAAACGTCTCCTAAACATTCTTACGTTAAGAACGTTTAAAAAACGTTTAAAAGACATTGAGAACGTAACTTTTAAAAACAAATGCCCCTAGGAAATTATTATTTTATTTGCTGCAATATTTTTTAAAACAAATATCTTTATTTAACCAAAAATTATTTTATAAGTTTTAAGTATTTTTATCTTTAATTATTATAAAATTATTAGGATTATTATTATTATCTTTTATTATTATAAGAATTATTTTTATTTATTCTTATGTAATGCTGAGATTGATGAACTATTAACCAATATTGATAAAGGACTTAAACACACATCAAAATGTTTTAAATGCAATAAAGTAATGTTGACAAAACAAAGTATATTTTGCCAAAAACTTATTTATTTATAGACAAAGTTGAAAAAAAAAAGAACGTTTTTAGGAATTTATTTAGATGAAAATCGAAATAAACTCCTATAATCCTAAAATGTCAGAGTGATTAGCATTACTTATTTTTAAAGATTTGTTCCCATTAAAAACAAATAATAAATATACCTTGCGTAATAATGACTTTTTTAATGAACCATTTTTTCGAACAAAGTTTATTTAGTTTTGTATTGCTCAACCTGGACCTTGTTTGTGGAATAAAATCGTTTTTTTCGAATTTCAACTAGCCAATATTGAAAAAAATTTAAAAAAATAAAAAACTCAAAAAAATCATTAGTCCATTGGATAAATTTATATATTTTTAGCCAGGGGTGTAGAGTTGGAAAAAAAACTAAGGACTCTGGTTGTTGAAATTTTTAGAGCACAACTCCAACTCCGACTCCAAAGCAAAATTTATTTCAAAAAATATTAAGCGATAAGTTAAAAAATATTTTTTACCAAATTTATCAAAAGTTCTTTGAGGTTTACAATAATTACAAGGTTAATTAAATATTTTGTTCATGCACGTGCAATACCAAGAAGTTTTACTATTGGAGTTAGAGTCGCGTTTTTTTAGCGACTCGGACTCTACAGCACTGTTTTTAGCAGTATATATATATATATATATATATATATATATATATATATATATATATATATATATATATATATATATATATATATATATATATATATATATATATATATATATATATATGTATATGTATATATATATATAATATACACTAGTATAAATATTATTTAATAATGTTTGATTAATAATATTTTAATAATCGTATTCGACAAATAAGATTGAGTGAGCGCTAGACAATATATTTATTTTTAAAATTATGGACGTTTTTATCGGCATCATATTTTTAAACTATTTTCATTTTAGACGTGATATTTATTTTGAAATAATAGAAGTTATTGTTCACATATTTAAGCCGTTATGAAGACGGCTTAGCAGTAATGAAATAGTTTGATGGATGCAAGCAGTAGAAAACATATCAAGAAAAGAAAAGAATAAACTTTAAAACACAAGTTCTCTGTGTCAATAAAAATCTGCCTAATTTATATTTACTTATCCAAATATTAACTTACACATTCAAAATTATTTATATATTATTTGTATATTTATTTATATAACAATAATATTTATATCTTATTTTTATATATATTTATTATATTATTAAAATGTAATAAGAATTTAAAACTAAGATTTGAATTAATAATTGAAAAAAACAACATAAAAAATATTATAAATTAATATTATAAATTTGATTTATGAATGACGTATGGTTTATTAGTATAAACAGTAGCATCAGTAAAACAATACAAAACCAAATATAATATTCTGACAACATTAAAAATTTCACAAAGAAATTTTAAAAACTTTTAAAAACGTTTTCAAGGGATGTTTCATTAACATAGTAGTTTTCAAAGGATGTTTCATTAACATAGGGTTCTAAGTTGAAGTACTATGCGTGACAAGTCAATTAGATTTTCTTGGAGCTCCTTAATAACTAGAAAAATAGACAGAAACAAAAAAAATTAAAAACTAAAAAATCTTTTTTTTTTCTAATTACTTTTCTATTTTATTATTTTATTTTATTATGTTTCTTTTTTTTTTCCCCAATTAAATGGGTTTACGGAAAGACATTTTGCCTTTTACTTTTTTTTTATTTATCTAGTAGTACCTTTTTATTCAGAATCAAATAACAAATTTACTTATAAAACCAAAAAAAAACCTCAGATGTTGATATTTTGTTAAAAATTTTATCTTTATCTAATTGTAATCCATATTTTTTTTTTTTCTACTATTAAAATTTATTAAAACAATTCCAAATATCTTTTTAAAATCCAAAAATACCGTATGAAGCTCGCAGTTTTATTTAACTTCAAAAAACCCTTAAATTCTTCACGATTTTATAATTAGTTTATAAACGCAAAACCATAAACCATATTATAACATTTGAATACTCTTAAAACTATACGAAGTTAGATTTAAAAACTTTAAACAACTTAAAAAGTTTCAAATAACACTTTACCTTATAATACTATTTAAACCAATTATTGCGTAAACTTTTGTTGACTGTAATACAAACATTAACAATCTTTATAATATTATTCACAAAATTTTAAAGAAAATATTTTTATCAGGAGGTGGAGACAAATTTTCGTCTGATTTAATTTAGTGTCTTAGACGTCACATGAGAAACTTTGTAAACATAAAGACTTAAGAGATACTTATATATATATATATATAAATATATATATATATATATATATATATATATATATATATATATATATATATATATATATATATATATATATATATATATATATATATATATATATATATATATATATATATATATATATATATATATAGTGGCGTAGGAAGGTCGCGAAAGTTGGGGGGGGGGGGCTGAAAACATATATTAAAAAGGAAAAATACAGTAAAGTGATGCAGTAAAGTAGATGAAAATGATCTATTCATTCAATTATTTATCATACGCATATATATATATATATATATATATATATATATATATATATATATATATATATATATATATATATATATATATATATATATATATATATATATATGTTACTGTTACCCGCAGTACAGGTAGCAAAATTAAACTTTTACAATTTGCCTAATAATTGTGGTAACACATGAAGCTCAGAGCTGCAACTATATTATATAAATTAGCATTTAGCTAATTCCTGGTACTGCTGGTAACAGTAACATATATACTATATAGCTCTAGTTTATCTATTGAGCACTCTTTTAAGTATACAACATTATACATGATAATATAAAGACCTTTTCTATATTCAAATATAGACAAGATCTTTATATTATCATGTATAATGTTGCATACTTAAAAGAGTGCTCAATAGATAAACTAGAGCTGTATAGTATATATGTTACTGTTACCAGCAGTACCAGGAATTAGCCAAATGCTAATTTACATAATATAGTTTAATATTGCAACTCTGAGTTTCATGTGTTACCACAATCATTAGACAAATTGTAAAAGTTTAATTTTGCTACCTGTACTGCGGGTAACAGTAACATATATATATATATATATATATATATATATATATATATATATATATATATATATATATATATATATATATATATATATATATATATATATATATATATATATATATATATATATATATATATAATAATATATATATATATATATATATATATATATATATATATATATATATATATATATATATATATATATATATATATATATATATACATATATATATTATTTATATATATATATTTTTTATATATATATATATATATTATATATATATATTATTATTATTATATACATATATTATTTATATATATATATTATTTATATATATATATATATTATTTATATATATATATATATTTATATACATTTATATTATATCATATTATTTAATAAATATTTAAGATATAAAATTTATATTTTATAGATATATTATTTAATATATATTTAAAATATAAAACTTATATTTAATGTAGATATATAAAAGTTATGTTTAATATTAAAATTTATATCTATACATTAAATGTCAGCAACTATCATTTAATAAGTTGACGAATGTAATTAAAAAGAGTTAAACGAGTTTATGGGAGTAAAAAATCTTATTAAAAAGTTATCTAATCAAAGCAAGTAAATGTTTTATTAACATCATATTTTTAAATATATATAATTTACGACGTAATGCTACTCAATTACGTTTCACATTGAATGTTATCTTTTGTTAGTAATATCGTTTTGTTGTGACAAATCAAAGAGAAGCCGGTTGACAAAACCTTGTCTGGTTTATAGAAAAATGAATTAGCAAGTAAACAAAGTTTTCTTGACTGAATTCCGAAACTGCGAGCAAAAAGCAAAAAGACAATTTTTAATTTGCCAAATAAGATTAATATAATAACCTTTAAATAATTATTTAATAAACACTTAATTTGATTATAAAAGTTTTTATTGTGAATTGGTCTTGCAAAGAAAACTACTTGAGAAAAACAACTTAATAACAAACAAAATTTCCACTGTGTGACTTGACGTTAGTGACATTTCAAAGTGACAGTTTTAAATGGCTCAATAAGTTCAATAAGTTCAATCAATAAGTTCAATCAATAAGTTCAATCAATAAGTTCAATCAATAAGTTCAATCAATAAGTTCAATCAATAAGTTCAATCAATAAGTTCAATCAATAAATTCAATCAATAAATTCAATCAATAAGTCCAATCAATAAGTTCAATCAATAAGTTCAATCAATAAGTTCAATCAATAAGTTCAATCAATAAGTTCAATTAATAAATTCAATCAATAAATTCAATCAATAAGTTCAATCAATAAGTTTTCGTGTATCTAAAAGAGAAAATGATAGCCAAATGCATTGAAAAGAAAACGCTTTAACTAAAAAGAAAAATGTTTGTCGTTTGAGACCATGATTACCGACTTACATAAAAAAATTATTCATTCCAGATTTGTTGAGAATCCAAAAAATAAAGGAAAAATGTCAACCCAAGATAATAAATTTCAGCAGATCTTTACCTTCTATGGATAGAAGGTAAAGATCTGCTTTAAAGTGTAGAGTTTATTAACAACTCCATAAAAATAAAACGCGCAGAAAAAAAAAAGAAAGCAAAAAGAGAAAAACTGAGTTGTTTTATCGATGCAAGGAAAGTTGCGTTTCAGACAAAAGTATTTGCTAAACTGAAAAGCTGATGTTATCTGTAATGTTGTTATGAAATTTGTATGTGGTAAATAAAAATGCATTGTAGATTGAACTAAGAATGTCAGAAAAGTTTGCAGAATCCCTTATAAAAATAAAAATAGTTTTTTTTTATTTTTATTTCATTAGATGTTCAAAACAATTCCATCATCATCTATACAAAGTTGCATCCTTTTGAGTCATTTGTCAAACGATTTTTGATTATACTTTGCTTAAACTTTAAAGTATATTTCAAAATATGCTTTAAATAATTCAAATTTAAAAGTTTAACAATTCATTTTGAAAGGAATACTAAAGGAAGCAAAAAAAAAAAAAAAAACATACGTAAAAATAGTAAAGAAAGTAAAAAAAAAAAACATTTAAAAATAAACTCTTAAACATGCGCAATGGCTCACAAAACAAATTAAAACGAAACTCGGTTTAGTTAAGGCGATTTAAAAATTATTCGAATTCTTTTATTTGGTATTAGCATGATTTTATCAGTGTTTTATGTCCAAACAAGAGCTTTAAATGATATAATTTTTTTTGCTTTAGATTTTTTTTAATATTTCAAGAAACTTTTCTTTTTTTATATAATATTCAATACATCTTTACCCGTAATAGTGAGTCTAAAGAACACCATTTTGGAGTCTTTAGATCAAGTCCACTCATTAGCGTTAACCATGAATTTAGTTAAAAAAAAATTTCAAAAGTGCCTTAAGTCACTATAGATCCTAGTTCTATCTGGCGGTTCACCTATAAAAAAAAAATCCTAAAAATCAATTTATTTATTTTTTTGATGATTTTTGTACAAATATTATTCAGCTTTCTTATTGAGAAAAAATTTTCCATAAATCTTTTTTAGTTTTTTTGTTATTCAACTAAATCTTATACCATGTACTTTGAAAGTGCATAGCAATGCATATAGCAACGCATTGATTTAAAAAAATGCTCGTCTCATCCTATATTTAACTCAGTTATAAGATTTTTTTCTGAAATTAATCTGTATAAGAATGTAATATATACTTTGCTTTATATATACTTTGCTTCATATATTTTGCATTTTATGAACACTTTTAGTCATGTTTTCAAATAATATAAGCAAATTTCATTCTTTTAAACTTAAAGCTTCAGTTGTGTTCTTCGAGTTATTTGAACTTTCTTTTATTATTTGTTATTATTTTTTGTTATTGTTTTTGTTATTATTGTTTTTGTTATTGTTTTTGTTATTATTGTTTTTGTTATTGTTTTTGTTATTATTGTTTGCATATTTGTTTGCATTAATGAACAACATTTTTTTAGCATCATCATGCAATAAAAAACAAAGTTTCTGTTTTTCTTCAACAGATTAAAAAATATTTGTCTAAAAAAATGTTTCTCATTTAATTTAAAAACTTTTGAAGTTATTCTTGTCAAAGTTCTTACAGAAGGCAATTGGTAATCTGTTCGCAATTGGTTATAAAAACTTCTAGAAGTAGCAAAATACTGAAAAAATCTAATAATAATCTCCTTAGAATAAATCTTACTACCAACATACTGTGTACCCATAGAGACTAAATGTTCCTGAATTACAATATCTTTTCTGCATGGAATTAAATCTTTAAATAACGCAAAACTTATTGTAATATAGACCACGAGTTGATTTTTGAAATTCTGTTTTTAGATATTGTGGAAACTTTATATTTGGCACCATAATGATAAGTATCAAAATGTAAATCCTCATTAATCTTGATTAAAAAATAAGGAGCTCCATTTGAATAAATTTGTGATTGTTAATGAATAGTGTTATTATTCATAAAGCATTCTATTGAAACACCTAAATCTCTTTCATTATTTAAAAGACCTTTTTTCATTTCAGCAAAAGTTACTCTATCTTTTTCTAAAAAAGTGGATAGTTCATCTTAAGCGAAATTTAGAAAACACGAAGAAGTACGAGTTGTTGCACGTAATGGAGAAAGATGGTTAGGAATTTGACAAGACGGTATGCCAGGCCAAACAGATGGTGGAAATTTAGGACGATATTTTCCTCTAACTATTTGTTTTTCAAAACTTATCGGCCAATACAACTCACAAACTACAGTGTCATTAGTTACTTTTAAGTTTGCATTTGGAATTAGTTTAATGTAGATTTGTTTTTCTTATTTATTTTTAGGAAATCGATATACTAAAAGCTTTAAATTATCAGATTTCTTTTTTGCAGATAAATAATTTGCAGTGCAGCCATAAATGCAACATTTTTTACCCATATTTTAATAGCAATAATTAATATCAAAATGGAGAATAAAGTTAGGCGAAATTTTAAATAGATTCCCAGTCTGATGCGCGGTTTGCACGTATAGATCGCCGTGGGACAAACCAAACCTCATAAACCTCAAAACGAATTTGTTACGTCATTACATTTCTTTGAACAGAGAAACATCACGTAAATGTAATAGCATTTACGGACGAACTTGGCTACTTATGAAAGAATTTAAGAATTAAAGAAAGATTGAAATCTGGGATTTTTACTGTTAGTCAGAGTTATTTGCTATTAAACGTTTATTATTAAAAACAAATAACGTTTAAAATTTGCCATCCATTCCAAAATTAAAAAATGGTTAATTCTGATTTTAAACAAAATAATGGTTTCGGACATATTTTCAATAAACGTCGAGGCAGAGAATTATACATAATGCTATATTTATTATGTTTTTTGGTTGCTGTTTATTATTTAAACATGCTTTTCTTTCCGAGATCTTTTAAAGAAGATTTAATTCTAATACTAATGGTGGTTTCCTCAATAATTATTGGAGAATTTTTGAGAAGAATATGCTTTTTTTCTGAGGAAATATTTCATAGTAAAAAGAGATATAATGGTTCAATCATATTAGCTTTTAAAAATTGTATAACTGTGACAAGTTATTCTGGTGTAAGTAAAATAATTTTTTACGCTATTAATTTTCATTAATAGATTATTATAAATTATTACAATTAGATCATTATAAATTATTACAATTTTTTTAAGTAATAGTTTTAAAAAACTTTTATTTGAAAGTTTTTTTTTTTCTAGGTTATTTGGATTATCTTAGCTTTTTCATTTTCAGTAACTTTTTACCAATGGATCTGGGGAGATAAAAAAATCCTTTCATTTACAGTATATGCAACCTATATGATTTGTAGCTCGATTGTTATGCATTTGCTAAAGTTAAAAGAGCCTTCTATTATAGAGTATTCCCATTTGAATGAAGTTGAAAATAAACATTTAGCTGCAGGTTTAGCATGGGGTTATTACTTTGGTTATTTAAAGGAACAACTTCCTAAGTTAAAAATATTAGTAGATGGAGCGGTAGCACCACATTCTATGATTGAAGGAGATAATGCATGTAAATATTTAAAACCAATTATGTATATTATTATTCCAAAAGATTGTAATTGTACAGAAAACTTGGCAAATGATTATGATATAAAATTTCATCGTAACTGTCTTGAGGACATAAGAAGTACTGGTGGAGTACATGACAGATCTTACAAAAACAGCGTTTACTCGATTGAACCACGTGAACCACAAAGACCCAAAAAATATGTTATTATGGAGTATGCAACTCCTCTCAACAACTTGTTTAAAATGTCAAAGCATAGAGAAGCAAATTTTTCTGATGAAGATCTTGAACGTGAAGTAATTTTATTTTACAAAAAACTTAAGTCTATTTTGGATGATGACCCAAATTGTATTAATCATTATAAACTAATTTTATTGTCAAGTGCTTCACAAGAAAATATTGCGGATGTTTTGTATAGAGAAATAAATGATGAAGAAAATTTTTTTAATAATAATGTTAATGTATGAATTAGTTATACATGAAATGATATATAAAATATCATAATGATATCATCATTGCAATAATAACTTTATGTTTTATAATAGTTGCATATTTTATATAGTTATATATTTTATAATATAATAGTTTATTTATAATAGTTTTTTATAATAGCATATCAAAATTTAAGAAAATGCAAGTTAAAAATCTTTCCAAAATGTAAAAATCTTTCTAAAATGTAAAAAAGTTGATTATTTTTAAACTTTGTTTTTTGCTTTTTGTAAAACTAAAAATAAATTTTGCCACAATTTTAAAATAGTATTTTATTTTTAACTGATAGCATCAACTATTTTTTTAAAATTTTTTTGTATTTTGAAATAATTTTTTTTAATTTTTAAATATTAACAGTATTTTGTGTTTTATTTGTTATTTTGGAATATCAACAAATGCAAATTTTGAAATTATTTATATTTTTATAGCTTTAAAAAAATGAGGGAACTAAAAACAGGTGGTAGTGAGAAAGAGTCTTGAATTCTTCCCTAACTTTACATTAATTGTTTAAAATTTGTTGTTATATTTTTATATACTTTGAAGATCCAACATGATACTTTTGAATTATTTTTTTTTTAAATAATTCAAAACTATCATGACCTGTTAAAAAGTAAAGTTAGTTATGCTATCCCTAAAACACATTATTTTGAACTAATGTCATTCTTTGTGTATAGATAATTCATAAATAAAACTAGTTTGTTTATCAAATCCACAAAAAGAATTTGTTTTTTATAGGGCGCTAACTAGAACTAGTAAATCAACTTTTTCATCGCAAGAAGTATTAATTTTCTTAATTGTAATCAGCTCAGCTAATTGTGTGGATTTGCTCGAAATGTATATTAAATCGTAAATGTAATAGTTAAATCGTAGGTTTTCATATAAGCTTCATATGATGTCATTCAACTATAAAACATGGTGAATTTGTATTTATTAAGTAAAAATAGGTTTTGTAAATTCAAAAAAGCATTAAATTACAAATACTAGCAAACGTAGGTTTAAACAAAAAGTTTAAATCTATACATTGTTTAAATGTTTAAATCTATACATTGAAAAGAAGAAAAAAAGTTGAACAAATTTTTCAAATTTTTTGCTGTGAACGTTCAAACAGCAAACGTTAGATCGACGTTCGTTGTTTGTTGTTTGAACGTTCACAGCAAATATTTAAGAACTGTAAATCGGAGTTCACAAGTTGGTTTAAAGAACGTTTGGATCGTATGTTATTCAAACCTAAACAAATGTTATGGTAACGTTCTTAGAACGTTAATTTTTGGCTGGGTAGCTGAGTGTCAAACCCTGTTGGTAATTGTTGTTTATGTGCTGTGCCACAAGCGGGCGTAGACTGAATAATTTTATCTATATATATTACCATTGTAATGATGATAATGTATAAGAATTATCCAGCCGAGCTTGTTTTGCTGGATTTTCTTAAGTTTTGTCAATCTGCTGCTCATCATGCTCAGATTGACTTTAATCTTGACTTCACCTGTCATTGTAGCCTGTAATGAAAAGAGTATAGTTTTAAATTATGTATCAGCCAGTGTCACCACTATGTAAAAACGTTTTACCTCAATGCCTTTAAAACGCTTATCCAATGACTTGATTAGGATTGAATTCATAGTCTTTACACCTGCATTATTGCAGAATATCGTGTGTTTTCCCTTCAGAGTTTTTTGTTGCGTTGATGTTTGAAAATAGGCTTAGCTAATTAAATTGTAAAAAATTGTAAATACAGATACCTAAACAAACATGAAGTTCATAGACTATAGAATTACTAAAAACATTGATTTGTAAAAATAAAATATTAAGTATACATGTTATCACGGGCAAGAAAAATGTAATACATATCCTATCAAAATTCAGAAATCCGGCCAAATTTAAGCCGGATTTGCTAACATTTTGCCGGAGCCGAATTTGTAAAAATGGCCGGATTTCGGCCGGAGCAGTAGCCGGAGCCGAAATTCGGTAGAGCTTTAGTATTTATATTCCAAGCTAAAAAACATCATTAAATATATACAAATATAAATTTAAATATAATTAAATCTTGCATATATTGAAGAGATCGCTTGGCTGAGTGGATGATGTTATGGGCAGTGACAGCGGAGATCCGAGTTCGACTTCCTGTAAAGTCCTATATTTTTTTTTCTGTTTAATAAGACGCATCAAATAAAAATAAACTACACTTTAGGCAGACGTTTTTTTTAGGCACTCCTCTTTAGTAAGTTTGTAAAAAGCGAGTCACGCAGGAAGAGTAATATTGAAAACAAAGCTTTAAACCCAGTGTCAAGTGTAGGCTACCCATACCCCGTAATTAGAGGGGTTGGGGTGTTGTGGGGGAGCAGCAAATTTTATTTCCCTTTTTCTATTTTATTTTAGCAAAACCTAGCGGTAAAATTTGGAAGATTTTGATACGTTTTTTTATTTTTAGGGGAGGAGAGGGTCTCCGACCTTTTAGCCATTGCACTAATAAAACCTGTTTTTTGTTGACTCAAAAAATAGGCAACCTATTTTTTGCACATGCATGCACATATACCACTTCTTATATACTAGCCCTGAATATACTCAGGGCGGAGAGCTGTCAACAAATAGCCCTGAAACGCTTGCCCCCCTGCTCAAACATGAGGGCACTTACTGTAGTAAAATTTTTAACTTAACGATTTTTTTTTTTTTTTTTTTTTTTTTTTTTTTAGTATTGTATTTGCCGATTGAAAATAATTTACACTCGTAATTTATAAAAACAAATATTTACATGACTGGGGCTTGAAGAAGACAAAATTCATCTTTTCATTAAGCCCCCCCAAAAAAATGCATATTCATCAAATAAAATATTTTAACAAAATGTAAAAAATAAAATATATAACGTTTAAAATATTTAGTAATTCAAAGAGTATTTATATTTAAGAACTGATTAGTAAAATAAGATGATATATAAGTATTAATATTACAAAAAGAATTTACAATAACTTTTTTTAATAAAAATTGAAATTATAAAATTTTACAATACTTTTAGTAATTAGTATTTCAAATAATAAAACTTAAAAAATCGTTTGTAAATTCAAAACTTATAAGATAAGAAATACATTTACAATAGCAGACTATTGTTTAGAATATTAAATATAATATTAAAGAGTAATTAGTAGGCTAATTTTTGTTTTTGTTTGCTAGTTTAAAAAGCTTTTTAGAAGAACTTTAATTCATCTTCATGTATCATCAGTAATTGCTTAAGTTTTGTTTTAAACTGGTTTAAAGAATAATTAGATTTCAGCTCATTATTTAATATTGTATTCCACAGCTTAGGACCTCGATTTGCAATTGAGAATTTGGTTGCTGAATAATGTGTTTTGGATTGAATGTAATTGTTTTTTGAAAATCTGGTAGGGTATATGTGGTTTATTTTTTCAAAAAGTGAATTAAATAACATTGGTGATATTTTTTATCATGTTTAAACATGAAGATAAAAATATGGTAAAGGTTTAGTTTATATACATTTAGAATATTAAGTTTATTAAATAATGTTTTAGTGTGAGAGAAACGGTCTACGTTTGTAATTATCCTTATAGCCTGTTTTTGTTTACTAAACAGTTTTTTTACTTTTGTTGCGTTTGTGCTGCACCAAGCAACGTTTGCATAATTTAAGTAGCAATGAATTAAAGAAAAATATAAGTTTTTTAAACAAGATAGATTTAAAAACTGCTTGGCTTTATACAAAACACCTATATTTTTTGATATTTTATTTTCAATTAGACCTATGTGGTCCCTCCAGGTTAAATTTTCATCCAGAACCACACCTAAAAACTTTATTGATTGCTCTCTTTTAATAATGCGTTAAAATTAACGATATAAAATTAAGTTCAAATTTATCGACAGAATTTAAATTTTGTTGAAAAATATTGTAAATTACAAAATGCTTATGCAAAATGTACAACCCCTCATTTATTTATTTTTTTGGGGGTCGGGGGTCGGAAAATTTTACTACATTAGTGCCCTCTCGTTTGGGCAGGGGAGGGGATGCAAGCATTTGAGGGCTTTTTTGTTCCCAGACAACCGCCATAACAATTTTTTGCAAGGTTTATTCAAATGGCATAGGTATAAACATACTTAAGTTTATAGATTGCACAATGTGTGGAAGTGGTTTATCTGGAACATCAAAAAATCTTGCGGGCGCCCATTCATGTGTGTGCATAGAGAGAAACTATACCTTCTACTCTCTTTACAGTACATCTTTTATGTTGGCAAACTAAGATCTTTAGTCAGAATTTTAACTTTTTTATTGATTAGCTGGTTAATAGTGTAAAATTAGAAATTTGAAGTACGTACTTTTAAAATGAGCCCTCCCTCCCCCCCCCCTCCTTACGCTTTCGTACGCCTTTTGAAGACCTCCCTTCACCCCCCCCCCCCCATGAGCGTACGTGCTTTATGGACGACCCCTTAGTTCTAAGTTTTTCACTGCTACTTAAAACCGCTTCATTCTCTGTATTATCATTAACTCTGACTTTGCTCATCTTCTTTTTTATACTTTTATGCTTGCACTGCCTCGGATCAATGTTTGAGAGCCTGTGCCATAGGTCACTCATAAAAACAACATCCAAAAGTTTACAACGCAACAGCATTTACGCTAAATAAATTCAAAGGATTTGCTGCTCAAGGAAAAAAATCACTGTTTGGGCTCTCATTTTTCAGTTGTGCTTGTAGGTCGTTGTATTTTCTAGACATGTTAGATGCATTTTCATATTCACCACAAGCATTGTTAATGCTTAAACTTAATTCTTTTAATCTTCTTGTCACTTTTCCATTATGTCCGCAAGGAGACTCAAAACCATTAAATCTTTTTTCCACAACAGCCAATCAGTGAAAAGTATTAAACTTTAGACGCTTCACTACTAATGGATTACCAAATATTTTTTGCCTAATAAATTGCTCATTGAATGCTTAGCCAATTATGGATCAAAATCTGTATGGAACTCCAAGACCCGAGAAAGTTTCCATTTCTGAAAGTGTCTATTTTTTCTGAGTCATCTCCAAGGGTGGCGCACTTGCCTCAAAAGCGAATGATCCGTGGTTCAAATCACACCTCTAGGCAAGT